CATGTATTACCAGGCTGTGTGGTATATGCCTGTAAACCCAGCAACTCTGGAGGTTGAGGCAGGAGAATTCCAAGTTTGAGGTCAACTTGGGCAAATTAGTGAGACCCCCACCTCAAAATAAAAAAATAAAAAGAACTGGGGATGTAGTTCAGGGGCAGAGTGCCCCAAGGTTCAATACCCAGTACCTCTAAAAAATAAAAAGATTTCCTATGAAGAATTTATACCAACATCACATATGTTCTGTTCCCCATCATGATTTTACTCACTCTGAATTTAAAATGTGATAAAATTTGGTCAAATCAACACAATGAAATTATAACATATATTATATTTCTTTCTTACTTCTTGCAATAGTTTACAAACCAAACCAGTTAACACTTATGGTAGATTTACAGACACACACACACACACACACACACACACACACACACAGGAAAAAAAAATGACTTCTGGAAGGCATAAGATAAATTCAGAGCTTAGCCAAAGAAATAATTCTCATTTCATATTTACCATTCCAAGCCTCATCACACCACTTACCCTGCCTTCCTTTCTCTTTCCAGTTTTTGTCTCATATGTTTTTAAAAAGACTACTTGTTCAGATTCCCAGAATTTATCTATTTTTTAAAGGGCTGGGACAGACATAACTGGCGTCTGGGAATGACCAGTGCACATTTCCTAGGTCAATTGCCAAGGTACAATGTGAATCTCTTTCCTGCTCTTCCATGGTCCACACAGCACACAGCCATACATTTACCTATTTTTTAAAGGGCTGGGAAACATGTAGGGATGAATTAAACATATACCACACAGCCTGGTAGTACATGAAAATCTTAGATATATTTTGATGCCTTCATAGTAATTGTTTATAATAGGAAGCCTTTTTTATTATATTACTGTGTACCAAGCAGGGCATGTGCGTTGAGAGTCTCCTCAGAAAAGTATCTTGGCTACTTAAGAGACTTTTGTGGTGAGGTTAGGGAACCCTTTTTTAAGATACCTTTGAAGAAAAACAGTGGAGCCTCCCAGGGTTGTGAATCAAAGCTATTTTTTTAAAGCAGAAAATGATTAATCCTTTGTCCTTGGTGTGCTCCTGAGCTCTGTCTCTCAAATACTTTTTTGTATTTTGTTTAAATAATCTCACCCCTCCTGCTGTGAATTTCTACAATGTACTACAAAATCTGTGCTGTTCTGTCTGGGGATGGTTTACCTGAAAGGAAAACAATGATGTGCTATTTTTGGCAAACAAAGTATGGAGGCTGACTCAGTGGTCATTAAGTCACCACCTTTGGTTAGTTTTTTAAAACGTTGGGGTGGGGGTGCAATCCATCATCCGTTCCCCACTCAGGGAATTCTGGTTGATAATTTAGGCAGTTTGGGTGGAACCAGACCCTGAAACCATTTCTGGCTTTGAAATTATTCCTGGTGGGAAGCCCAGTGATACTGGCATTAGTAATCTATTCCAAGGGACAGAGAGCCAACTGGCTCAGCCACATAGGGGGTATATTAAAAGTATCTCTCTTCTCCTCCAAATAGGTTGGATTGGGTTGGGCAACCAAGATGAAGTCTTCAAAAAGAAAGCAGAAATAATTGCCAGATAACCCTGTTTAATGTATTTATTTTAAAATACTGTGTATGATTTGCCTTGAGCTCAATAGCTACTTCCAGAAACTGAATCCAGAATGGAAGATTCCATCCACAATCCATCTCTTGGCAGCCAAACACTCAACACACAGGAAATGTAACACAAGCACAGCCAAATTCAGTGTTTGAGCTGTTTGGTCCAGATGACCTCGTCTAAAAGCAAGACTCAGCAAAGGCCTGGAGGGAGTGCTCTGTATCCAGACATTTGGAAATCTTTTCTGGGCCATACTGAGAGTTGAAGTGATTCAACTATTCTAAAAATGTAAGGCAAGGCTAGACTGGCACTCACAATATTTCAGTCAAACTAATATTTTATGTTCCTCAATTTCATCTGCATTCACTTTTAGTGGAGTCAGAAGTAGAAGAAATAGTAGGAGGCAAAAGTGTCACGAGCCATCTGTGGGTTGCATGTGGGTCACTGTGCATGGAAGCCTCGTGGACAGACATATCTGGCGTCTGGGAATGACCAGTGCACATTTCCTCTGTTCAATTGCCAAGGGACAATGTGAATCTCTTTCCTGCTCTGCCATGGCCCACATAGCACATGAGATGGGTGTGACCTGCCAAGATGTCCATCAACCTGCTGACTGCAAGACATCAGGAAGCAAGATTCCACCCTTGAAACTTTATCCCTGCCTTTGATGTACTGATATACCTAGCCTAGTTATCTCATTAGATCAGAAGCCAGCTTGTCATAAGTTATGAAGGATTCATTTTTGTTTTCTGTAAAAATATCAGGATGTCCGTATAGCCTGGCCATTAGTTGATGTTGTAAAGCTGATTGGAATGCCTGCCCGTGCCCTGAACTCACCCAGGTCCGGTTTTCCCTGACCATATAACAAGCCTTTCCTAAACCTTAGTGACGCCTCATAAATTCTGGCCTTCCCTGGCCGGATAACGACCCTCTCTGAGTCTCTAAGATCTCCATAAATTCTGATGCCGGGGCCAGCAAAAATGTAAACTTGTGTTATGCTCTTCAGAGTGTTGTTATCTGTAACCTCCCTTTGTGTAACTTTTTGGGCTATAAAACTGGGCCACAAAGAAGCCTCGGGGCTGTCCTTGGCTCCCACGATTTTGAGGGGCAAGGCAGCCCGGCCGGTCGAAATAATAAGCTTGCTTTAATTTGATTTTAATTGGAGTCAGTGGTCTTTTCTTGCGTCGTGGTCTAACAGTACCCCCTTAAATAAACCACTGAAGCCATCTTGTCTTTGTCTAGTTCCAGACCCATGTGGACTAGATCTATCGGGAGCTTCATTTCCTGTAAATATATTTCTGAGTTTCTGTGCTTTGTTATTTGCAATTATCTGAGGTTAAGCTTTAGCTTGGCTTGGATTCCTGGGCAGAAAGAAGGATCCCATATTGAGACACTGGCCATCGTTCTTTCCCCAAAACAAAAGTTTAACTTTGATGAGAAAAACTTTTTTTGGTTCTTCAATGAATTTTCCATCACCTTTTATTCCATTGTCTTACATCATACTGTGGGAGCCCTTCTCATTAGAGGGTCTCCAAGCAAGGTTACTGCTTCATAATGGGTCCACTGGTGGGTTCAGCATGATGACTGCCAGGCCCAAGTGGGAACAAAGCAGATCTGCCCAATAATTCAGAACCTGGAGAGAAGTTGTGTTTTCCTTTAAAAGCAGGATTTCCACTGCTGAGCTGGGCACCTGCTGACAGGACAAAGAAGGCACCACAAGTGTTGGAATCCAGGCTGAAAAGGATGTGGCCATCTTGCTTCCTTTACTGTGAACACACTATTGTCCCTGGTCTCCAAGGCTGTGATACCGGATCTACTGGATAGTCCTAGCTTGGAAAGAGAGAGAAGGCAGTGGAGGATGTTTGATTAGGAACAAAAGTGAGGCCAAGGCCAAGGGTAGCTGTGGAAACCTCTGTCTGGGGAAAATCTCTGGGGAACTCATTTAGCTCCATGACTGGCAAAGCTGCTTCCCTTTTTCCCTTCCTGTCCACTTCCCCTCCATTATCTCCATCTTCATTCTTTGCCTACTTTGGCCCTGCTCTGGGCTGAGAGGGGCTTGGAGGTAGAAAATCAAAACAGAATAGTTTTCACAAACCCTGAAGTTGTTCCTGAAGAGTGCAATCCCAAGGATAGGAACTGAGCATTGTCCTCAAGGCCCTGGGGAAATGAGATTTGGAGCCCAGAGATAAGACACTTGAAAATGCTGCTTAAGGAAGAGGGGTAGAACTTTGCCCTCTAACCCCAGCCTCAGCAGACAGATGTTGCTGGGCATCAGGCATCAGCTCAATCTAAGGAAAGCATCCTGAGTCTGAGCTGTCCTAAGGAAAAATGAACTGTGTTGGAGGGTGGCAAGCTCCTGGCCCCTGCCTGTGTTTTTCCGAGTTAAAGGCTGGAGAGCCAACTCATGGGATTGCTTGACAAGGATTCTTCCAGGCCTTCTAGTCTGAGTCCCCAAGGGTTGATCTGCTGGAAGTGGAATTTCAGGGCAGCAGTCTACTTTGGCCTATCATGAAGATGATGAAGAAGCCTGAGGGGACAGGGTAGTGGGAAAAAGTCCTATCATAAGCAAGTTGGGAACTGAAGGTAGGAGAGGAAAGAGGTGGATGGAGCTGTCACAACAAACTACCACAACCAGATGGCTTTAAACAGCAGAAATGTACTGCCTCCTGCAGAGGTTTGAAGTCCAAAATCATTGTGCAGTCGGATTGGCTTCCTCTAAAGGTTCTTGGGGAGAACCTGTTGAAAGCCTCTCTCCTAATTTCTGCCCCGTCCAACTTCTGCTCCGCCCAGCTGTTTGTTCCTTGGCTTGTAGACTTATCACCCCCGTCCTCCATTATCACACGACATTCTCCGTGTCTTCAAATGATATGGACAGGCTGGATAGGCGGTGATGGTAGTGTCACTTCCCCCTTCCTGTCCATTAACTTCTTCAGTGGTAAAAATAGTTATGGTATTCCAAATTGGTCATTCTTCGATTTCATAAAGGCAATATCCTATGATTTCATAATAGGTCTTTAAGGACCATTCCAACGCTGATATTCAATGATTTTACAATAGGGAGTTAAGCTTTCCTAAGGATTGAATAGGAAAAGGAGACATTTCTTTGAAAGTCAGCTAATGTCTTTGGGGAGTAAGGTCACTTCTGAGTTTTAGTTTTCCGACATACAAAAGAAATAACAATACGGCTTCATAAGGTAGTAGGAGAGAGGCTGCTTGAGAGACGTGAAAGTCTACAGAAGCAAGCCTGGAACCTCTTCTAAGGTCCTCTTCAACTCCTAGCGCTTCGCTGGGGTGAGGTGCGCAGAGCCGGAGCGCAGAGAGGGCGGGGCTAGGAAGCCGGCTTTGTTCTTGCCACGCCTCCTCCCTAGATATCGCGAGAGGGCGGGCCCGCTTGGCCTTGGCGTCGGCGTCGCTCCCCGGCTGGGGCAGTAGGCCGGCCTCTCTCCGCAGTCGGTAGGTGAAGTGCCGGCGGCGGAGGGTCACCAGCCGCGCGGCGTTGGCTGGGGCGTTGGGGTCGTTGTGTCTTGACAGCGACGCTGGTAGTCTTTTCTGCGACAGCGGGTGCGGCCGCGTTAGCCCTAAACGGGCTTCGCGGCTGTCTGGCGAGTCTCTGCTAGCGCCCGACCTTCTCTTCCCGGACCCCACGCCAGCAGCGACCCTGAGCCAACACCCGGAAAGACCGGTAATGGCGGCCTCGACGGCCTCGCACCGGCCCATCAAGGGGATCCTGAAGAACAAGACGTCTACGACTTCATCGGTGGTGGCCTCGGCCGAGCAGCCCCACCGGAGCGTTGAAGAGGAGCTGAGGTGAGAGCCGGAAGGGACGGTCAGGGAAGCCCCTCCTTCCCGGGCGGGCGAGTGCCGACGCCGCCGCCGTCGCCTTTACCGACCCCGACCCCGACCCCGACCCGTGCGCTGCCGGCGGGAGAGGCTGAGCGGATGCGGCGCCGCCCGGCTTTGCTCCTCCGACCCGCGCCGGGTGGGGTGATTCCAGAGAAAGCAGGAGCTGTGGCATTTATTGTTCGTTTCATTTTTTAAAGTATATGTGTATATGTAGTATTTTTAAACAAACATAACCTTTGAACTTTCCACAATTGGCAGCATTAGAGAATCTAATCTAAATTTCAAAGCTTCACCTCTTAAGCTTTTATTATTTCTTAACTTGATCTCGGAGGCATCTAAAATTTTTCCATAGGAAAAGTGTATTTTACCTTTAGGATCTAGGGTCAAGCTGATACACTTCTCAAAAGAAAAGACGGTTTGCCCATTAAGCTTCGTGCCACTCTCACTGAGTTCCTGGTTTGTCATTATCTCTACAGTAAAAGAAACCCAAATTTTCCAAGTCTCTGATCTGTGTTTAATGGAAAGTTATTTATTGATAAATATTTATGCATCTGCAACTAGATTTTGGGTTCTTTCTAGTTTTTGTTCCTCTTAAGAGGTACCAAGTTCAGAGAAGAGCAAGTGGAGATAGTCACTCTAAGTAGCGTGTGTAATGTAAATAACTGGCAACCACCCAAGGTCCATTAGTAAGAGCTAGTGAAATATTAATTATGGTGCATTTGTATAATGGAACATTGTGCTAGCTTTAAAAAAAAAAGAGAAGCATTTTGTGTACAGAGAAAGATATCTAAGGTACAATGCTCAATGAAAAAAAAGATGTTGCAGTGTAGTATCTATAGTATAAAATATACTCCTGGATTAGAAGTGTAAGAGATCATGGATGTTATAGGATATTGGAACTATAAGGACTCTGCATTCTGGAAATAAGGCCTAAGAAAGTTATTGAAATGTTACTCATAAAGCTAAAATAAGGATGTTTATGAAATCTTAGAATATTAAAACTAGGGCATTCCTGTAGGAATGATCTAATTTAGGACCATAAAAGGAACTATTATTTTATGGAGGCAAATATTTATGGGGATTTGTGTTACCTTAAAGAAAGTACTAACAGTGTAATTTAAAATGGTGGCCTTTTAAGATCAGATTAATTTTTAAGATTAACTCCCCTTTACATGCACACTCCTTTGGACACTTGAATTTTATTTCCCTCAGACAGTTTTCCAGCCTTTATTTGGAGAAACTGCTTTAAATGAGATATTGAGGGTGTCATGGTTAGAGAGATCATGAGATTAAGAACAGAATCTCATTAGACCATAGAACATAACTAGAGCAGGAAGACCAAGATAATTAAAAAATAAATAACTACACAACACCCCCAATATAGCCTTAAGAAGAGTATTCAGCAGCAGGAATATGATTCTCACTGGCTTTTATGTTATTTAGCTGTTATTCAATGTGAGCTTCATATTGTCCAGCTATCGTGTATCTTATTCTTAACTTTTATTTCCTTCTCTATCTCAAGTTTGATCTGCTCTAACCCATGACCCCCACTCTAGGGTTAGCCTCTGTAATTGACTGGCATTTAGATCCAGGTTTTTACTATACTACACTGACTCAACAAGGTACAATCACTTCTTCTGTAGTCACTTTTGGCGAGGCAGACTCACTTAAAAGGGATTTTTCCAAGGTGAGGGACTGACTTGACTAGTGGAGGGTTGTATCCTTGTTTTCAAAGGGACCTACGAAGCCCTAATTCATTGAGGTTCATAATGTTTAGTTTCAGGTGACAAAGGAAATGAGCTCTTTCATGATCAGTGTTATATGACTGTAAAGCACAGAAACTAATTATATTAGTAATATAGTATACATTATTATTTATGTTACAGCTCATTGCAAGCAGTATTAGTAACTATGAGTGCTGCTTTGAACAGAAACAATAAAAATAAAGTTGAACACATTTGAACTTTCTATAGTGTTTATGTTCCTTCTCATAGGATTCTAACATTCCTGTCTTGTATAAAAAGAACTGAAAATAAATAGCTCTTGCAATTTACAATGCATTTAAAAATTAAGACGCTCATAAAGATAATGCAATGATCTATGTGAAAATGATCAAAGAGTATAAGGCAAGAATCTAAGTTGATTATCATTACTTGTAATAATTATGTTCTGTAAAGTCCTCATAGGTGCTAAATTAGTAAATACCAAACCCTTGCTGCCAGGGAAAATGCGGGATTTGGTTTCTACAAGCCTCTAGTCTCATTTTCATCAACTGATCAATATATAACCTTGTTTTCTGTGTGTTTCTATTTAAGGACATCTTATTTAACATATTGATTCATTAGCCTTAAATTCATGGCCAATAGTACTCTTACCTGAAAAAAGTTTATATACCAAGTCACGTGACAGCTTTGTTCTTAGGAACACTAGCCAGAACTTTGTTCTTGGTAACCATTCACCAATAAAAATACAAAAACATAGTGCTAGTAGCTGGGTGTGTTGGTACACACTTGTGTAATTCCAGCAACTTGAGAGGCTGAGGCCAGGTCCACTTAGCACAACCCCAATTCAAAATAAAAAGGGCTAAAAATGTAGAGCGCCCCTGGTTTTAGTTCCCAGTACTGTAAAACAACAAAACAAAAACCCCATGGTACTAAATAGACCATGAAAAAGATACTTTTATAGTTCAAAAGCTGAAAGAAGAAGTCCAGGCATTGCCTTTGGCTTCAACTTGGAATATGTACAGTGAACAACCCCCAAATTTTTTAGTCTGCTTGTGTTTGTGAGCAATCACTAAGGCACCTCCAATACTAGTTTTGAGATTGCAAATAAATTTGAGCAAGTAAGTGAATCCCCACATAGAGAATGCACAAATAATGAGGAGGAACCCTACCTTCTGTTGGTGCCTTTACTGTGTAAAATGCAATTATTTCATCTCTGTCCTCTATTATAAAGAGATTTATTACCAAGAGATTTTTTTTTTTTTTTGAGAGAGAGAGGAGGGAGAGAGAGAGAGAGAGAGAGAGAGAATTCCAATATTTATTTTTTAGTTTTCGGCGGATACAACATCTTTGTTTGTATGTGGTACTGAGGATTGAACCCGGGCCGCACGCATGCCAGGCGAGCGCACTACCGCTTGAGCCACATCCCCAGCCCACCAAGAGATTTTTTAAAGGGAAAAAATTAAAACACTTCAAATATATATGTTCATAATTCATATACACATATGTGTAATAACAACACATAACTTTCAAGGTTCAATATACACATAAAGAGGTCTATAAATTTGAGGTTCATATCTCAAATAGACTTAAGCATTTTTTATTTTTTGATACAGTTCTAGTTAGAACTAATTAAGCCATCAGTAGTGGGCTTTTTAGTTGACTCAGTGCTGTTGTTTTCTTATAGTTCTCTTTATATTTTTCAGTGGTTCTTTTTAGTTTCAGTGAGTAGTTTCTTCAGGTTCCATTTATCTGGTACCATTTTTTTGAGGGTTAATTAAAACCAAACAGAATCCATAAATCCACATAATTAGGCAAAGATAAATCTCAATACACCATAGCACAGTTGTACTTCAACTGGATCGAACACCACTGTCCTATGATTGTGGAATTCCTATTCTTTGGTATCAAGATATCTCAAATGTAGTACACAACTTGTGAAGGTCTAACCTGACAGACTTAGTATGTGTGAGTATTTTGTTGAAAATAAGATACCATTGATTCTAAGATATACCATCAAGAAAGAAAAATTATTGCCAGTTATGATTATAAGATGCCATCCATTTTAAGATGTATTATTTTTCAGAAACTAAATTGTGAAAATGTTCATTTTGAGTTATGAAAATATGATGTTAAATGTTACTAATGCCTGCCATGTGAAAAGTATTATAGTTTAGTGCTTAATCAAGAACCAGATTGCCTGGGTTCAGATCTTGTCTGCCACTCATTAGCAGATTTTATTACCCCTGATTTTCAGTGAGCTATTTTTATCTATATCTTTTTAAGTATTAAATGAGTTAATAAATTTAAAGTGTTTAACCCTAAACTGTTACTCTATTACTCTGTTAGTTAAGAATAATAGAAATTTAGAACTCTAATTTTCCCCACATTTTAGGTTGTTTTTACATTATCTCTTTTGGAATTTGCTACTCTGTTCAATCTGACTTCTACAGTAGTCTTAGATAAGTAAATAGATAAGTCTTAGATAAATCTTAGATAGGTAAATTCAGCTTGAAAAATTTGTGCTTGGATTTTCTTTGATATAATGTAAGATATAAGCATGCTCCAACCGTCTTTCTGCCTATTAAAGGGACATGGAATATTATATCCAAAGCTTTGTTGAGAAAAACAAAGTTTGTTTTCCAAAAGTTACTTTTTGCTCTCTCGTGATAGTTTTTATTGTTGTATGTCTTACTTTAATTGTTCAGTAGTGGTATCGAGCTTCAAAGTCTTGTGCTTTGTCAACCTATGTTGAATCTTTATTAAAAGAAAAACATTTATTATTGAAATGTGCAATTAGAGGTTTAACACCTTGAAGCAAAATCTGCCATTCCATTTCAATGATAGAACTATTAAGTGACAAGAAGTACAAGTAGTTCTTTGAGATGGCATCTCATTAGCTAACAAAATAAAAAATGGTGACTTTTTCAGGACCAGATTTAGGCTGTAGGAAAACCAGTTACCCAAGGGGGAGGGAGGAAACTGAAACAGCAGGTACTTTCACCATCACCGCAGAGCTGCCATATAAGTGGTGGTTCCCCTATTTTTGTCTGCAGAGATATCCAAAGAGGTCATACATTTCATTATGGTATTGGGATTAAACTCAGGTTTGCTCCTTGAGTTTTGTTTCTCCACAGTTTCTACCAAAACTTTAGGGGTGCTAATTTCCATACCCCGTGGTTTCTTTTTTTCACTAATTTTCCACCTAAAAAATTCCTAGCATTTTTTGAGCCTTTTGTTTTGTTTAGTTGTTGTTGTTTTTGGATCTGGGAATTGAACCTAGGGAATGCCAACCACATCCCCAGGCTTTTTTTTTTTTATGTTTTATTTTGAGACGGGGTCTCCCTATGTTGCCTAGGGCCTCACTAAATTGCTAGGCTGGCCTTGAATTGAGATCCTCCTGCCTCAGTCTCCCCAGTGGGATTATAGGCATACACCACCATTGTGCCTGGCTAGAACTTTTTGGTTTAGACCCTTATTTAAAATGCTTGTTTTTGTAAGATAATTATCTTTTTTGGATAAGAACAGTTCTAAGGATTTCTTTTTCTTTTATGCTAAGGAAATGCACAGGTTGAATGTTACTTTGAATATATAAAAATTTAATTTTCATTTACAGTGGAAAGTAATAAATGACAGGCTGGGGAAAATTTGGGTTATATATATAATGCGGTTATTTATGTGAATCTACAGAATTCACTCAAATTTACAGGAGAAAATTACCAATAGATAGTCAAAAGATATAAACAATTCACATAAGGAAAGCAAAATAAGCATTTGTCATACTATTTATTAGATAATGAGCAAAGAAATACAAAACAGCTTTTAAATACTATTTTATACTTGCTGAAGTGTAAAAACAAACCCACAGATGCTCAGCCCTAGCAATGTTTTGGTGATTATTAGGGACTTCACAAATAGTCTTCTCTGTTAAAAGCTGTATAGAAAGCTGGGTAGAGTGATACATGCCTTGAGTCCCAGCTACTTGGGAGTCTGTGGCAGGAGCATCACTTGAGTCTCCAGTCTGGTACATAACAAGAATCTGCTGGTAGCTCAGTGATTTGAGTGCTCCCAGGGCCCAGGTTTGGATCCCCAGTACCACAAAGCCCTTGATAAATTTTAACCCAGAAACACTATCCTAGCAAATTGTCCTAAAATCATCAGTGAATAGAATACATGTAGATATGCCCATTTTGCCTTGTTTTAAATAGGAAAATCTTGTATTCAATTTAAATATCTAAATTTGGTATTTTATTATGTTATAATAAAAGTGTTTTATTATGTTATTTACCTAGGTTTTTTAAGTGTTTTATTATTATTCAATCATTAAGAAGGTTAAAAACTAGCCAGGTATGTTGGCAGATGCTTATAATCCCAGCTGCAGCAGGGGATCAAGAGTTTAAGACCAGCATGGGAGGACTCTCTCTCAAAAAGCAATAAAAAGGGCTGAGTGTGTAGCACAGTGATGGAGCACCCTTGGATTCAAACCCCAGTACTAAAGAAAAAGTAAAAAAAGGAAACGATTAATGGCTTAGGGTGCATGGATTGTACTTATTAAATTTTAGTCTTAATTTTAAGAAAAGACAATTTCTACTGTGTCCTGTAATTCTTTTTCTCCTGTCATTATCTTGCAAAACAGATTTATAAGGTGTTAATAATGTCTCTTCCCCTCACTAGTGGTCCATCTTCATTCTATTTGTATCTTAAATAGTGATGATAAATTGTCGTTTTTAATTCATTTACCATTTAGGAATAATTTGTTTTATGTTGAGATTAGGAAGCACCCAACACGGTCATTTAAGTTTATTTTTAAAATGTATTCTTGTAATATGCATCCAGAAAAGCATATTAAATGTAAAGTTAAAGCTTAAGAAAATGGGGTTGTGGTAGAGTTCTCACCTAAAATATGCGAGGCACTGGGTTCAATCCTCAGCACCACGTAAAAAATAAATAAATAAAATAAAGGTATTGTGTCCAACTACAGCTTAAAAAAATAAATAAAAGAAAGAAATTAATAAAAAGCAATCACCTTTGTAGCTACCATTCTGATCAAGAAATGAAATGTTTCTATTAACTCAGAAATGTCCCTGCCATTTCAGTCTTCTCCTTTCCCTGAATAGAAATAATCATTCTGACTTAGTTCTGATAATTATCTAAATACACATCCCTACACTGTAGTTTTGCCTGTTTGCCCATAATGTAAATGGAGATATCCTAGTTTTCCTTCACATCTTTAGTAGGAAATATTTATCAGGAGGGAACATTTAGTTACAACATGAGCTTTCCTTATTAATTGGATTGTTTCTTTCACAAAATCTACTTTTAAAACTTGTACTTGGCCAGGTGCAGTGGCCAGGAGCTGGGCAAAAGGGAAATATGGGGAGTTAGTATTCAACTGTAGAGTTACAGTTGGGGAAGATGAAAAAGGTTTTGGACGAGGATGGTGGTGTGATGATTGTGCAACAGTGTGAATATGCTTCATGCCACAGGATTGCATTTAAAATGGTTGAAATGGTGAACTGTACATTATGTATATTTTTATTGCAATAAAAAAATATTCTTAGTCTGAAATGTGGACACTGAGTCTTGGGGTAGAAAGCAAGAAAACAAAAAGTCACACCTGCTAGAAGTGGATGTGTAATTGTTGAAATTACTTGGGAAACCCATTTGAGAACATGAAGAAGGTAATATGGTATTAAGTACATCATTCTTCAAGATGTGGGAAATCAAAAATATGTAAAGTAAAATCTATTCAATTTGGACCAAATGCAGAAATGGTGATTTGACTCAGTGTTTAAAATTTTACATTGATTTTCTTTTAAATTAGTTTTATTTTCAATTATATAACAAAATTCACAAACTGTATAATGTAAAAAAAAAATAATGTTGACTAGACTTTTGAGGACCTTTTTAATGGGTGGATAAGAATTTATAATTAAGGCATTTAATTATTAAGCACTTTAGTAGTTGCATAAACACTTTATTGAATGGATATTATCAGTTATTCCTAAAGCATTTCTGTTTCCCTTATGTAAATCCTAATTTTCTAGATTAAAGGCAGATTAAGCTATAATTTTATTCTCAATTTTAACTTAGTATAGATTTTGATTTAGAATTTGATGAGGTTTTCTCTGTAGTTTTATGTTCTCATTTGTAATAGATATCCCCAAAGAAATTATGCCAAGAAAATATTTGTTATGTTTTTTTAAATTAGTTATTGATATCTAGTAAATCAAAAATATGTAACTAATGTGATTCATCAATCCTGGATTTTTATTATTTCTAATTCTACAAGCCAGATAAAGACTAAGCATGTGATAGTATTTTGAATGCCTTATATATATTCTGAATACTTTGTTTATAATATATGGATACTGAGCGTTCTTTTTGTCTTTATTTTAGTAAAAAATCCCAGAAGTGGGATGAAATGAACATCTTGGCAACATATCATCCAGCAGACAAAGACTATGGTTTAATGAAAATAGATGAACCAAGCACTCCTTACCACAGGTAATGTTACACAGTCAATATTCCTTCTTAAACTTATTTCCATCTTAAATTGATTGCAGTTTTTAGATAACAGCTGATTTGAATTTGTATTTTATTTCATATTTATTACTACACTAATAAAACAGTTGCATAATTTTTTTATTAATAGTTTGTATCACTTTAAAATTCCGAATGCCATTTTGTACACTAATAGTAAACATGTTATTTGTTGTACCTTAGTGGTTATTAGTTGTTAGTGATGCACATAGATTAGTGAGCTTTATCTTTCTTGAAAGGAAGATGATATTTGGGTTTATTTGCTTCCCAAGTAGAAAGTAGAAACTTACTCTGTTGCTTTGCAGAAAATAACTGCATAGATGGTAACTCTTTCCTAACACACTGAACCAATAGATGGTTATCACTACCTCATTACTACTCTTTCATGTTCTCATGCACCCCGCTGCTCCCTTACCCATAGAAGAGATTGGATGATTTATACTGAGCTATATCCCCAGCCACCTCTGTTCCTCTGCCTTTTTTGAGACCAGGTCTTGCTAAGTACCTGAGACTGGCCTTGAACTTGGGATCCTCCTGTCCTAGCCACCTGATGACTAGAGCTAAAATTATAGGCCTACTACACTTAGCTCACATTCTTTTTTTTTTTCTTTTTCTTTTTTTTTTTTTTTTTGAGCTTACCTAATCTATTAGTTCATATAATTACATTGTGATTTTTGGCATTTTTGAGTCTCAGATTTTTTTTAGTTTTTTTAATGAATTAGTAAATGATGTTGTGCTGCAGTATCCAATAAGAAAAAAAAAAGCATGAGAAGATGGATATTCTAAATAAGTTTAATAAGTAAATAAGATTATGCCCTAATTTGGTTGAAAAATAAAAGATTTCTAGGACTAAAATAATTTGTCATTGAAATAAAACAACATAAATTCATAAGTCACCATTAAAATAGAGATTAAAAATATGGTATTTTAAACCAATGGATGAAAACTTTAGAGGATAATTTGATACTAACAAAACAAGGTGTTAAAGAATGCGACAAGAATAAGGAGAAATAATGAAGATAGTTACAAATAATGATGCTTAATACTAATAAAATTTGAAGACAGACATGGAAAAGTTCATACCTTCTAATTATAGGTATATACCTTAAAACATATTTTATTGAACCAGAATCCAAAATCAGGGCTTTCTTTGTTCTCAGTAAACATGGTGTAGCCGTGTTAGTTGGAGATAAATTGTCCTAAAATAATTCAGATTGGACATGATTTAAGAAAAAAAAATGTAGCCATTATTTTTTTGCTCATTCATATCTGATGGATCTAAATGAATGGGATATTTGACTTTGTTTCATTTTGCCTTACCCATAACTTTATTCTAAGAGTTGCTGAAAGATTGGTTGATCCCTAAGTAATTGAAGCTGTATGTATACACAGATACATATTCACAGCTTTTATCAGTTCATTGCTTAGTTTTACCATTCCTTTCATGAATTGTATTTGTTTTCTTTCTTTTTTTTTTTAATTTGTTTTTAGTTGTTTATGGATCTTTGTTTATTTACATGTGGTGCTGAGAGTCAAACCCAGTGCCTCACATGTGCTAGTTCGGCAGTCAACCCTGAGTTACAAAGTTACAACCAGTCTTCCATTTCTTTTTAAGTGTTTTTGTTTTTGTTGTGGCTTTTTTTTTTTTTTTTGGTTTGGTACTGGTTATCAAACACAAGGGCATTTTACACTGAACTATATGTATCCCTGGCCTTTTCTTTCTTTCTTTTTTTTTTTTCATTTTAAGCCAGAGTCTCACTAACTTGCCGAGGTTGGACTTGAAATTATGATCCTTCTGCCTTCAGCCTCTGGAGTCACTGGGATTACAAGTAGGCACCACTGCAGATGGCGTTTTTAAGCATTATATTTAAAAGAAGATACTTTTTATAGAAAGAGTATGTTATACTACCTAAGAATCTCACTCAACTGTTTAGTATACAAAAAGTTATTGTTTTTATATGCATATAACACAAAATCTATCTGTAAATTTTGATATAATCTAGAACATATCTATAAATTGACTAATTATGTATATTTTACTCTACTCTGCTTAATTAAATCCAGTAATGTAGATGAGCTTAATTCATCTTCCCTTGGTTTAAAAAAAAAAAGATCATCTAAATTATAGCACTTCTCTTCTTAACCAGAGAATGTATAAACCAGCAGTTATATAAATATATATATTTATATAATTGAGTTTTGCTTCATATATATATATTCAATGGCTTGAGAATTAAGGATGCCTTTTTTTTTTTTTTTTTTATTTTTTTTTTCAGGAGACTGGGGTTGTGTCTCAGTGGTAGAGTGCTCGCCTCAGACATGTGAGGCACTGGGTTCGATCCTCAGCACCACATAAAAATAAATAAACAAAATAAAGATATCATGTCCATGTATAACTAAAAAAAAATTTTTAAAAAAGAATTTTTTCACAAAACCTTTATTTTTATTTATTTTATGTGGTGCTGAGGATCAAACCCAGTGCCTCACAAATGCTAGGCAAGTGCTCCACCATTAAGCTACTACTCCAGCCCCAAGGATGCCCATTTTTGCAGGGACATGAGGTATATTTTTTCCTAGATAATAGAATGAGAAAATTAAAATAGCTTTCAAACTTCCTGAATTAGGTGTTTAATATCTAATTTTGTTATTTTACCTAGTCTTATGTCTGCATAGATCATGTGTCTTGGTGTGTGTGTGTGTGTATTTTTTTAAATGTTGGTGGTTCTTTATTTTATTTATTTATTTATATGCAGTGCAGAGAATTGAACCCAGGGCCTCATACATGCTAGGCAAGCTTTATACCACTGAGCCACAACCCCAGCCCCATAACATAATGGTTATGTGTAAATACATATTCTAAAAGCAGACAGAAGTTTACTTTCATTATTCGTTTTATCCTGTTGGATATAATAATTGAAACTTTATAATTTTATCAAATGATTTGAGTTTTTGAATTTATTTTTATGTTTTTTTTTAATCAATTTTTTTTTTTAATTGGTGCTGTACTTTCAGAGTTTTTGTTTTGGGTGGGGGAGTTTGGTTTTTTTGTTTTTTGTTTTCCTAGGTGTTAGGGATTGAACCCAGGACCTCATGCATACTAGGCAAGCACTGTACCACTTAGCTACATCCCCAGTCAATGCTATACTTTGAAATATTTATGTGGAAACACTATAAACTTAAATCTCAAAAATTTGATAATGGAGTAGTGAGTATATTGATATTTTAATTAAGTTGATAGGGTTATGTTTTCTTAACTTCTTTTTCTAGTGGAAAAATAATTTCACGTGCTAATTACAGCATGCTTGTCATTCTAGTATGATAGGTGAGGATGAAGATGCATATAGTGATTCAGAAACCACTGAAGCCATGTCTCCAGATGTCTTGGCTAAGAAGTAAGTAGTAAAGCACCTTCACTTACATAAGTTTTTAATTGTACAAAGTTATATTTTACCTTGCTTTACTTCTATAAATATAAAAGCTTAAGTTTATCTAATTTTTGTGGATTCAGAGGGTGAGGGGAGCAGTATCTAATTTTTGTGGATTCAGAGGGTGAGGGGAGCAGTTCTGGGAAATTAAACCCAGGGTCACGTATGCTAAGCATTTGTTGTGCCACTGAGGAACATCCCCAGTCCTTATCTAGATTTTTCATACCAACTGTTATAATCTCATTTCTTGATTAAAATAAATGTATGCAGATGGCAGGAAGATTAGAGTACCTAAACTGAACATGTTGAAATGTGTCTTATTTCCTGTGGATTTTTTTGTTTTTTCAATATTATGTTATCTGAGTTTTAATTTTTAGCCTATTCCTAAAAGCTCTCTTCCTTTTCTATCACTGGTTTCTTGTACCCATCCCACTATTCCTTTTGCTTATTAGTTTCTACAACCAGTTTTACTCATTTGCTTTTCATTTTCCGTATCAGGTTATAGCTAGTATATTAATGATCTTCAGATGTTTTCATGAGTCTCAAAAGTTGATTAAGACAAATAATATAAGGATATCACAGTCTTAACTTCTTTGTTATATAAAATAATTGTTATATAGATTATCTGCTGCTGAAGGCTCAGAACCAAAGTATCAGTCTCGGGAACACGAAAGCAGTGGAGAGGAGGATAGTGAACTCACACCTGAAGAACAAGGTAATTTATTTCCTTTTCTGCTTTCAGCATGAAGCTTATAATTTTTGCAAAAAGAAAGAAAAAGAAAATTATTTGGAAGATTGGAAAATGGTTTTCATTTTGGGGAAGTGAATGGTAAGAAAATGGAAAGCAGTATTTTTATAATTCACATTCTACCAATGTGCATTTATTATATAATGTTCCCACCCCCCATTTAAAATATTCCGGAGACATTTTTGTCATCTTTACAGCCATTGTAAGTATTCCTTTCTTTGTACTTTTTAGTGTCTGGTATATTGTGAATACATGTTAAATTAATGCTGCCAGGAATAGTAGTACATGCATGTAATCCCAGGGACTGAGGAGTCTGAAGCAGTAGGATTGTAAATTTGAGGCTAGCCTTAGCAATTCAGTGAGACCCTCAAAAACTTAGCAAGAATCTGTCTCAGAATTTTAAAAAATTAAAATCTTTTAGAAAGGATGTAGCTCCAAGCTAAAGTGCCCCTGGGTTCAACCTCCAGTACAGCCTGTGTAGAAATGTAATGCTCTCAGAGTCATTGAGTGTTTGAATGATCTTGAAGTAGATAACTAATGCTCATTTCCTTCTTGCTCATTCTTTTTCTGTTTTAAGAAAGTGGTACATTTTATCAAATGTGCCAAGATGATCAGTGTAGAGTAAATATCTATATAGAGCCCATAAAACAAAAAGAGAGACAGGTTCAGTAGCGCACACCTGTAATCCCAGTTGAGTCCAGGCTAGGCAATTTAGCAAGACCCTGCCTCAAAATAAAATATAAAAACAGCAGGGAATGTAGCTCAGTGGTAGAGCACCCCTGTGTTCAATCCCCAGTACCACTTAAAAAAAAAAAAAAAAACAGCATTGTCATATTTGACCAAGAGTATGGAAACAGCCATTTTTTTTAAACAGGAATGGAAGATGCTCTTATAGTCCGTACAGTATTTACACAGTTAAGGCATTGCTGCCTACTCCCAATTTCTGTTTTTACAACTGATGGTGACTATCTGTGGAGGTGGGGAAAGAAGGAATATATTTTACCTTGTTAACTTTTTATACTTTGTGAACGTGTAAATGTATAGTCTTCCCAATAATAAATTGTATCCAGTTGACCCTTCATAGATACAGATTCTATATCAGTGGATTTAACCAATCATGGATTGAAAAATATTTGAAAAAAAAGTCTGTACTGATCACATACAGATTTTTTTTCTCACTGTAACAAACAATATTGTATTAATTATTTACATAGCATTTACATTGTATCAGGTATTTTAAGTAATCTAGAGATGATTTAAATTATACAGGATGTGGGGAAGTTATATGTAAGTACTATGCCATTTTATATAAGTGACTTGAGCATCTGAAGATTTTGGTGTCTGTAGGGGATCCTGGCACCAAACCCTCAAATACTGAGGAATGATGATATACGGTTTATTTTCGGTTTTTCTTAAAGGAAAAAAAAAGGACTGGGGGATGTAGCGCAGTAGTAGAGCACGTGCCTAAAATGCATGAGACCCCAAGTTTGATCTCTGGCACTACCAAAAAAAAAAGAAAACTAAATGTATATGGTAAAAGATTAAAAAAAGAAAGAAAAGAAAAAAACATACATATGCTCTCAAAATAATTGAAACTTTACAATGTGGGGACTACTGTACTATAAGTAAATTTAGAAACATTAGAATTGACTCCAAATATTTGCTAGTTATCAGAATCTTTGTCATGTATAGCTACTTAAGTATAATTTGCTATTCTTTTTATCTTCAGAATATTGCCAATTCAATGAAACTTTGATGGTGTGAACCTAATATTTATTCAAAAGAGAAATTTTCACTTATCTCTTCTAAATGTCTTCCTGGCTTGTTTTTTCAAAATATACCCAAAAAAGCCTTTGAAATGGGATTCCAAATAGAAATTATTTCTAGGTTTGGTTCCTCATTATTTTTCAAAAAACAGGGAATTTTTTTTAACATATATTGAAGAGTTTGGATGATCTTGGTAATTAGGGATGTTTCCTCAAGTTGTAGTTACATGAGGAAGCCTCTAGGGGGTGCCATTTGACTAATTTCATAATTTCAGGTCCCACTGATAAGAGTTAATAAATTATATAGGAAATTTTTTTCCCACTTTTTAATTTTTCCTCTTTTTTTTAGTCATCCCAATATTAGTACATGTAGTATCAAATCAAGCACTGGTCTTTCACTTTAAACAATTACATGTCTGAAAAAAAATCATTGCTTATTGATAGATTCTTAGATTATCTTGTAATTGATAGCACAGCAATTAAGATTATTGACTGTGGAGTCTGACAAGTCTATGTTTGTGCTCCAGATATGCCATTTGGCTGATTTGCTTAATTTCTCTGAGCCTCAGTTTAGTTTAGTTTTGGTTTGGGGGGGTTGTTTTGTTGTTGTTGTTACTATGTATTTAACCCAGAAGCACTTAATCACTGAGCTACATCCCCAGTCCTTTTTAATTTTTTTGAGACAGGGTTTCACTAAGTTGCTGGACTACCCTTGAACTTGCTATTCTACTACTTCAGCTTGTCACAGGGATTCCATTTGTGTGCCACTGTGACCAGCGTTGGTTTCTTATTTCTAAAATGAGAGCCATAAGAATACTTGTTTTAGAGTTAAATGTGTTGTGGTGCTTACCTGAAGTCTGGGCAGCACAGTGAGACCTCCATCTCAAAAATAAAAAAGTTTAATTTTAGAATTGTTGGTGGCAAATGAAATAAAGCATTTAAAGCACTTACTGCTGATCCCAGCATATTATAAGTGCTTAGTAAATGTTAACTTTTAATAACTTAAAATAATCGAGATAATCCCCATAAAAAGTAAAAGTAGATAAAAAGCATAATTCACTTTTTGAGTTAATATAAATTGACTATTATTAGAACTAGTTCTGAAATTCAAATGTTCATTTACTCTTTGCATCATGATGATCTGCCATATAAAGATTACAAATATAAATACTAATATTCAGAGAAGCCAGGTGTGGGGGCATGCACCTCTAATAAGCTACTTGGGAGGCTGAGGCAGGAGGATTGCAAATTCAAAGCCAGCCTGGGCAACTTAGTGAGACACTATCTCAAATTTTTAAAAAAGGGCTAGGAAAGTAGCTTAGGGTTGTAAAACACCACTGGCTTCAATTGCTAGTAGTGAAAAATACACACATGTGTGTATAATATATATTCAAAGAAGATTGAGGTCATTTATATTAGCAGCTTTCTATGAAATGAATATTTTTATATTTTTAAATGATATAATAAATTTTGAATATTCCAAATTTATAACAAACAAAACCAAGTTTAAGCCAGGCACAGTGTTGCATACCTATAATCCCAGCAACTTGGGAGGCTAAGGCAGGAAGCCCTAAAGCAATTTAGTAAGACCCTGTCTCTAAATAAAA